GACGGTTTATGCTCTGCGCAAACTCTGCTGCTTTCCTGATGGCGAATACTTCCGCCTGGAATATACTGCAGTAGCTTGGTAGCTTATACGACAGTCTCATTTCAGGGTCTGAACAGTATATGCCCGCTCCAACTCCTCCTTCCATCTTGGAGCCGTCGGTGTATATGTTATATTGAGGTGTTGAGCAGAGTCCTGGCCTGATTTCCAGACATTTGGTCCCATGAATACTGTTGTGTTGACATCCGGGCACGTTCTGGGTATCATGTAGTCAGATGTACTGCTCATGTGTCGACCAATTGAACTGTGCCCGAAACCTTGTAGCGACCAGTTTCTTCTTGGATGCATATAGCGCAATGGTGGCCTTTTTTATCCTCTCTAATACATTTGCTTTCCACATCAGCTTGCTGTCAAGTACAATGCCGAGGTATTTGACTTGTGTTTTCGGGGTCAGCCTGGTATTGTTAATTTTCGGGGGGATCCATTGCGGCACCTTGTATCTCTTGTGAAGAGAATAAGGTCCGTCTTATCCGCATTGATATTGAGTCCTACCTTCTCCGCCCACTCACATATCTCCCTGAGTGTTGTTTCCATGATGCTGAGGGTCGATGGACAGACTCCCGAGATAATTATGCTTATGTCATCCGCATAAGCTGTTATCTTTGGTGCTTTCCTTTCGAATCTCTTGATTAGGTCGTCTACCACCAGATTCCATAGGAGGGGCGACAGAACCCCACCTAGCGGCGTGCCTCTGTGCGCTCCTCTCACCATGGAAGCGGTGCCCCAATCTGATTGTACCCGCCGGCAACTTAGAAGATTTTTTATCCACAAGTTGATAGCGGGGGACGAGTTGGTCGCTTCTAGGCGATCCATTATTGCGTCTGTGCTAACGTTGTTGAATGCCCCGGATATGTCCACGAACACACCAAGTGCATACTCCTTATTGTTTAGGGCTCTCTTAAAGGTGGCTACCAACGAATGTAGTGCCGTCTCCACTGATTTCCCCTTCGTGTAGGCGTGCTGGTTGGTCGACAGTTGTCTCCCTACATCGTTCATTATGTATAGGTTCAGCAGCTTTTCCAGCGTTTTAAGTAGGAATGAGGTGAGGGTTATCGGTCTGTAATCCTTGGGGTTCACGAGGCTGCACTTTCCTGCTTTGGGCAGGAAGAGAATCCGAGAGGTCCTCCATTGGATAGGGATATAGCCCGTGCTTAAACAAGCTGTATATATTGCGTAGAGCCATGAGGTGATCACCTCCTTGGTCACCTGCAGCATGGCTGGGAATATTCCATCTGGTCCTGGTGCTTTTATCCTCGCAAAGGAGTCTATAGCCCAGTGGATTCTACCAGAGGATATTAAACCTTTTGGGAGATGTTCTACTCCAGTTGCTAGGTCCTGGTGCTAATTTGCATCGGGTACCTCAGTGCATCCTGGGAAATGCGCGTGCATTAGTGCTGTTAGGGCCTCTTCGCTGCCCTTAGTCCACTGTCCGTCGTCGCGTTTGTGCTGACTCTGTAGTGTTGGCTGCTTCGATAGCAACTTCCGGAGTCTAGCTGTTTCCGGGGCAGTGGATTTAGTATCAATTAAAAGAACTCAATATGGAGCAAAAATGAAATTACGACCAAAATTTGTTGGACCTTATAAGTTGCAAAGAAAAATCATGGACGCTACGGGGTAGAACAAGATGTTTGCCAAGAAGGTCCCAATCACTCGTTTACAGCAGCAGAGTTTATAAAAAAATTTAGTATTGAAGTATATCGATTAATGTAAGACTAGAACTAAGATTCTGGATGGCATGCTTTATGAGATGCGGGAAAACTACACTTAAGAGAAGAGAAGAGCTGAGCGGTTGTTAGTAAGTAGTACTAAATAAGTGAAGACAAAGCGCGATATATATGTAAATTGTTTAATCGTTTACAAATTCAGTTAATAATAATAAATAAACATTTGTGGGAAACTCAATAAAGTTATAACCCTACAGGTATGAACTGCCAAAGAAGTTGCTGGTGACTAGAAGCGTTCGATACAGATTCCTTGACAGATTGAAGAAACTCACGAGACAGCACTGCGGCCGCACCAACAAAGGTATTCTCATAGTCCGACTGAACTTGTCGAGGGCATTCTCTTCGTGACACGAATCGAGCGAGTGCTGCGATAAATTTCTTTGTTGTGAGGTCAGACGTAGCCTATAAATAGATGAGCTGTGTGGAGAAACACACAAACACCACCACACGGCCCTTGGTAATGAGGCAGGCTCTTCAGGTGTAATTCTTGATGTCGAACGGTCCGGCATAGTCCATGCCCGTATACGTAAGTGGACGCGAAAAGAATGTTCTTTCTCTAGGTAATTCGCCCATGAGTTGAGTCTAGCTATTTTTTGTGGACCACACATATTTTGCAGGAGAAAATTACCCACTTAACTAAATTCTTCATTCTTGGTATCCAGTGTAGTATGCACATATATTGAATACCCACTGTTCCAAAGTACTTAAAGGGTGCGCACTGTAACACATTGTTGCAGTGTTTACATACTTCAATGTCCCGGTCATTAACCATAAGTGGCCGAAATATGAACCGATCGATATGCCTTAGCCCACACACAGAAAGTGCTAGTGTCGGCATAATTGCAACGAACGGACAGCATATGCATACTCCTCGCGCCTCCACTTGAGAGCGCATAGCTAATGTACATAAGTACATTCCTTTGTACATAAGAATATATATACACAGCCGTCTCTCTGCCGCCGCCTGCGAGCAGCGCAGCTACGAGACCTAGCTTAAATTATTACTTAAGGAACATTGTAAAAATCAGATACTCCTTGATCGTTGGAGCGGCACCATAGCTGCTCCAAATAAAAACCAAAAAATAAAGTGAAGAAATATTAAAATTCAAAAGAAGACTTATCATTTAAATTTGGGAATCAATCAATCCCATTTCATGGCGAATCAATCCTATTTCACCAGAACTTTGAGCGGATCAGACGTTCTATTATCTGGTTCCCGCCGTGCAGAGATATGCGATGCGTAAAATGAACAAGGTGACAAGCCAAATGACAGTTGAATGGAACGAAGATCGGATGCCGTTCATCATCATTCACACGCTCTGATGAGGCCGTGAGGATCCAGGAAGGAATTCATATTTTGAATGGAACTGGATGCTGGAACTGGCCGCTTTTGGTTCAGGCAGGCATACTCGAGCGCAAAGTATCTGCGTTGAGTCATGAAAATTAGGATAGCTGCTCCTCACTTCGAATAGTTTTTTTTTCGCAAGCGCTGAATAAAGCGATGAACATAGGCAGAAGCTCGTAGTGCCCTGTTGAGCTTGGAGAAACGCTCGAGCTTTGTTGTGGCTGAGTTAGCCAGGAAGGCCAATGCCACCACAGCTCACTGGTCGCCAGCTCTTCAGCCGCTACTCCACGACTGGCTATATATGCTGGGTTGTGCACGGAACGCACATGAGACCACTGGCTGGTATCGGTATTGGATGCAAACATAAATCGCTGCGCTATGAGCCTTTTGGGACCCACAACAGAAACCATGGATCTGGACGTGTAATCTCAGTCGAAATTGTACCCAACGCGGGATGTGAACTTTGTTGAGGAAACTAAAGCTTCGAAGGAAATCATGCCAACGGTGTAGCAGTTCTCCGAGAAGAAACTCATCCCATCCGATGCTGGCAAACCATATATCCAGCATTAGGATATTGGCCTGAACCACAAATGAGGACATTAGTTACATTTAGTTTGAAATTTTATGAGACGCCCATGGATATTTGGCATTGACATCGTTGGACAGTTGCTGTAGTATTCGTAGGGCCAGGAAAGGGGCACAAATAACTCCAACTTAACCGTCTGAGCTCGAAGACAGATATTTCCCCCTGACCATTTTGAAATAGGATTCACTGAAACAAGGTGTGCTCTGCGTTTAACAGAATCTGCCGATATATCTTGGTGATATCGGCATTGAAAACGAATTTGAATATCCGCCATCGATATACTCTAGGATCACTGAGTCATAGGTGTCTTTGAGAACGAGCTTCTTTTTCAAGCGAACGAAAATGTCTTCACACAATTTGTCAGTCTCCTTTACCAATCTACATGGAAGATCCTTCACCTCCCAAAATTTTGTGAGAAGTGTTTCCATGGTCGATTCGGATATCCATTTTACCACCTGTGTGGTAAAGGACGAAACCATACTAGTGGGCTTTAGCCTGACAGGAGGACAGACGGAAGAATATCCGCACCTATTAGAAAGTAAATCTGGGAGGGCTGGAAAAACAACGGATCTGCCAAGGACATATTTGGCAGTCTATCAAGAATGCTGCGATCGATTGTGCTCGTCGGAAGATTGCCGGACAAATTTGGAAATACTAACGCAGTGGTGTTGATCAAGAGCAGTGGCTTTGCCGGAGTGCGCATCTGCAAGTGGCACATCCTTTGCGAGACAGCGGAGTTGGCTTGCTTCAGCCCATTGATTCTTGTTTTCATGTCTTGAAATGCAAGCTTGATTCTCGAAAATGAAGTTGCCTTCGGAGCTCGAATCTATCAGTGGACGGGCTGGAAAATTCTCTCCTAGGTGACACACTTGAACAATGGTCGTACCTAGAAGAACTCCCTGCTGATTGGAGGCGAAATGAACCGTAGTGTTCGAGATGGGCTGTTCAGGAGTGTGAGCCTGAGCTGCGTTAATAGAGTTAGAAGGATTGCCTTTACGCAGCAACGTATTATGCCGTACCTTGCATGTAAAACAGCTATGCCTGCTCAATCCCAAAGTTTATGTCCTCTTGCGAAACAATTAAGGCAACACTTCTGCTTGATAGATAATGCTTTTTGCGGTTGAGTCATCTGGAGAAAGCGAACTGGATGAGGCACTATGGAGAATAGATCACAAAAACGTGCACGTTGTTCGACTTATGTCTCAAAAGTATATATATATTTTTTTTTTCGTTTCCATATTTATTGTGATTTTTGTTTTGATATAATAAATTTACTTAAGAAAAATCACTAAGCCAGGTGTACAACGATTTGCAGCCTATAAGGCGACTGCTTGAATCCACGGGCCGCGTAATCGGAGGGAGCCGAACGATCGGAGACCTTGGGATATTCCTCATCTCCGGGTACGCACCCCTTGCAGCAGAAAATTACACGCCAGCCACCCTTGCGGGTCAAATCTTTCTGATTGTACTTGAAATAGTAGGCACCGGCGTAGATTCCGGTGAGAGCCAGGAGTGCTTTTCCGGTCCAGAAGCGTACTGTGCACGCACGCTGGAAGCCCAGAACAGGTGTCAATATGTTGCAGACCTTGTTCAGCGGGGCGCGGTAGAAACGCTTAATGGGGTTGTTCAGCTCCAGCTTCAGGGCAGGCACCTTGCGCCGGCCGTGGTGCAGCTCCTGGTCCTTCAGCTACTTCTTGTTGCTCAAAAACTGCCCCCATAAGAGAGTGACCTTTGGCAATTTGGAGGAACAGAGCAAAATTAAGCGGCAATCCCAATTTTCTGTTGAGACTTGCGAATGTTCAAGGGCTAAACACCCTTGAATGGTTCATTGAAGGTCTTTAAAGGCCGTGCCTGACCCACTGCCTATGGTCGGAAGACTAAAAAGGATTTTTAATTGGCTGTTTACCAACAGTCGCTGGAACCCATCATTAGTTAGCGGAGACTTCGTAACGGGGTAACGACATAAGTCCGCCGCCATAATTTCGCCGTTTTAAAACGACATAATTTCGCGAGATCTAATGACGCTTGAGGACGCCATAAGTTCGCGCAGGAAAAACGAAATTATTTCGCCAGCCGCGATCTTATGTCGCCTAAAAGCGTCATAAAACCGAGCGAAATTATGTTTCTTTAAAATTATTTGTGGCGAACTTATGGCGCTTTGAAGCGTCATAAGTCCGCCACAGAAAAAATGACACCATTTCGCGGTTTGGATGTACGTATGTATGTATGTATGTATGTATGTATGAATATGTATGTACATACATGCATAACTTATATATCGGCCAGAAAACTAACATTTTGGTATTTTATGGTATTTTTAAGTGCATTTTTATATTTCATTTTTTGCATGCAAAGCAATCCCTCACGATCTGCGCCGTACGCTCGTCCTGTTTGAAAATCTAGCTCGTAACGGGGCATTATTTGTCCAGATATGATGTCCAACAATGATCGAATATAGTGTTTTCCTACAAACGACAAGGGCCAAATTTTCAACTTCCGGGGCTGTAGCTGCTACCGACACCATGGAACTTCCTACCATCGCGGTGCACCGTGTTTTTCCATAGGAATTAGATGCTTGGTGGGAGTTTCATGGTATGGGGCGTAGTTAACGCCTCGGGAATAGGAATTTAGGCCTTCATCGAGTGTAATATAGATCGTTTGTAGGAAAACACCATATTCGATCATTGTTGGACATCATATCTGGACAAATTATGCCCCGTTACGAGCTAGATCTTCAAACAGGACGAGCGTACGGCGCAGATCGTGAGGGATTCGCTGGTGTATTATGGTCCCCGGCAATTATTTTTTAGTTTAGGACTTAGGACTTAAATATTATATATTATATTTGTAGTAGGCTATACCGATAGTTTAACACTAATACCGATACTTATAAGATACCGATGTTTAGTCTGTTAAGCCGATGTAAAATAACATGAGTCTGAGAGCGCATCGCTAATTCTGGCATTCTGTGTGTCGGCGGATAAGAAAGAGGTTGTAAAATAAAGACGTAGTGGTAAATTAAATAAGTCATCCTGAAAGTGTATTCTGTCTACCACAAATTCAGAAGTGGTCAAATCTACGCCATGAATGAAGCTAATTTAAACGCATTTTCGGTCATCCAGCTAAAAAGATGGCTTTCAGCGTTAGGTTTGGCAACCCAAGGTGCAAAGGCCGAGTTGATGGCCCGTCTTGGGTAAATACCGCTTGAAATTCGAGGCCAAGAACCAGACGAAGAAACCGGCCAGAATTTCGGAGAAGATGAGCCTGGCGCCGCCGGCACTGTACTCCAGTTGGTCAACACCGATCCTGAAAATCCAGGGCGAGCGACGTCGCAGGAAGGCGCTTCCGAGAATGTTCCAGAGCATGACGAACTTCTTGGAATCATCACGCAGCTGCGGGCAGCACTTATTGCGCAGCAAAATGCGTTGCACCGAGCAGAAGAGCGTGGCGCCTTACAGCAACAACAAATCGAGGAGCTCAACGCCATTCAACAAATACAAATGCAACAGCTAGAAGAGACAAGCGTCGCCACAGACCTACATCAGCAAGAAGAGACACGCATCGCCACACACACACAACAGCAAGAAGAGGCGCGCCATCACCATCAGAAACGGACTATGTGGCAACGCCGACGACAACCAGGGAGAGAGACCATTTACCAGGGCTGGATCAGCGGCATCACTCTCTTATGCCAAGGAAGCTGCCATCGACTTCGAAGGGAATATTTGCGCACGCAACTGGGTGGATCACATTAAAAACATAGGACAAATCTACCATCTAAATGATGACTGCCTACGAAAGTTGCTCGTTACCAAATTAAAAGGCAATGCACAGCGTTGGCTACACGCCAACCCAACTCGAATGCTGGAGTCTTTCGACAGGCTGTGCGAGCAACTAATCGTTGCATTTGGAGAAGCAGCGTCCAAATCAGAGCTGCGTCGAAAGTTTGAGCAACGTAAATGGCAAAGGAACGAGCGTTTTACAATGTATTTCGAAGAGAAGGTAATGATGTCCCAAACCATCAACATGGACATGGAGGAACTGCTGGAGCAACTCATCGAGGGAATCCCGTCGGCGAGCTTGCGTGATCAAGCCCGCATCCAAAGGTTCGCCAATCCGGAGCAAATGCTGCTAGCATTCGCCAATGTACGCCTTCCGCAACAAGCCGGAGTCTACGTACCGAAGAAGTCAATGTCGGCGGCGGCGGACGTCAACAACCTGCGCTGCAGGAACTGCAATTCTAAGGGCCATTTCGCCAAGGACTGCCGCAAGCCAGCAAGGGCACCTGGATCGTGTTTCGCTTGTGGAGAAAAGGGCAATTTTGTGGGAGAATGCCGTCTGAGGAAGAGCAACAACAGCAGCAACGTTAACGACTATGTAAGACGGTTACAAATTTTTTTCATTTCTTTCAATAATTTACCTATTGTTGCAGAATGTCTCATAGATTCAGGAAGCGCGATCTCATTCATTAAGCAGTCAAGAATTCCATTTGAAGTAGCATTAAAAGCAGTTGATCAATTGTATTATGGGCTAAACAAAAGCCAACTTAAAGTTTTTGGAAAAACGTTTTGTTTCATTTTAAAAGAAAAAAAAGATTAAATTAGAGATGATTGTCGTCGCTAATGAATCAATGAGACACGATGTAGTTCTAGGAAGGGATTTATGAATCAATATGGTCTGAGCATGAATCTAGACACCCTCAACATTAATGGAGATATTAATAATACGATTAAAGCACATGGGAAAAAGGATCAGCAACTAGCAACTGCCGTAGTAGCCAATTGCGACTCCAGCGAAACTGTATTAGAAAATGAATTTGTTATGAAAAAACTGTTAGGAAATTCAACTGTTATGGAAAATGAAACTGTTAGGAAAAAATCGTTAGAAAATGAAACTGTTAGGGAAAAATCGTTAGAAAATGAAACTGTTAGGGAAAAATCGTTAGAAAATGAAACTGTTAGGGAAAAATCGTTAGAAAATAAAACTGTTAAGGAACAATTTTTAGAAAATGCAACTGTTAAGGAAAAATCTATAGAAAATGCAACTGTTAAGGAACAATTTTTAGAAAATGCAACTGTTAAGGAAAAATCTATAGAAAATGCAACTGTTAAGGAACAATTTTTAGAAAATGCAACTGTTAAGGAAAAATCTATAGAAAATACAACGGTTACGGAAAAATTTTTAGAAAATGAAGCTGTTAAGGAACAATTTTTAGAAAATGAATCTCCTGAGGAAAAATTATTAGAGAAGTCAACTATTATGGGAAAATTACTAGGAGGAATAAATGTTGAAAGAAATTTTAGAGAACAGGAAACACATAACGGGAAAAGTGTAGAGAGCGATACTATTAATGAAAAAACAGAAATTTTAGCAGACGATTTTGAAACTGAGATGCTAAACATTAACGTAGTTGATGATCAATTTTCAGACTACAACTGTGGGTGCGATGTAAGCTATGAAACGAAGTGCAAATTTATTAAGATGTTTGAAGAATCATATGTTAACGCAAAGAGACCAGATACTCCATTTACCAGATGCGAGATGAAAATTTGTTTAGAAAAATCCAAACCTTTCAGTTGCTCACCTAGGCGACTTTCTTATAGTGAAAAGGAGCAGCTTCAGAAATTATTAGACGAATATTTAGACAAAGGCATAATATAACAGTGATTCAGAATATGCTTCTCCCATTGTACTGGTAAAGAAAAAAACAGGAGATTTGCGTTTATGCATAGACTATCGAAAATTGAACAAAGTTTTGATAAAGGACAATTATCCGTTGCCTTTAATAGATGATCTTTTAGACAAGTTAGTGAATAAAAAAGTGTTTTCAAAGCTCGACTTAAAAAATGGATATTTTCACGTATTCGTTGGCGATGATTCAGTTAAATATACATCATTCGTAACTCCATTAGGGCAATTTGAGTTTTTAAGGATGCCTAGGGGTATCAAGAATGCATCAGCAGTATTTCAGCGCTTTGTAAACAAAATTTTTGCTGATTTAATAATTTAATTCTTAAACCTTAAGAAAAAACTGATAGAGATAGAGTAGAGTTTTAGCAATTTATAATCACAAAGATGAGGTTGAATTGCATTGCGATGCAAGCGCGATGGGTTTTGGTGCAGTTTTAATGCAAAGGAAAGGAGATGGAAAACTTCATCCCGTGTTCTATTTTTCGAAACGAAGTACTGAGACTGAAGCCAAGTATCACAGCTTTGAGCTAGAAACTCTGGCTATTATCTATGCCCTGCGTAGGTTTCAGATCTATTTACAAGGGAGGCGTTTTAAAATAATAACAGATTGCAATTCTTTAACGTTGACCTTAAACAGAGTCGAACTGAATCCTAGAATCGCCCGATGGGTACTTGAACTTCAAAATTATGATTATGAACTGATTCATAGATCCGGAACAAAAATGCAACACGTAGATGCTCTGAGCAGATGCAATATTTTCATTGTAGAAACCAGTACATTTGAGGGCAATCTTGTAATTTGTCAATCGAGATATAAAAATATAGCAAATCAAAGAAGAGTTAGAAAAGAATCAGCACAAACTGTTCGAAATGAGAAATGGCGTTGTATACAGAAAAACAGATGACGATCGTTTATTATTTTATGTCCCTGAGGACATGGAAGGTCCCGTTTTGCACAAATATCATAATGAACTTGGTCACATTGGTAGAGATAAGATGGTAGATGCTATTTCGAGGAGCTATTGGTTTAAAAATATCAAAGACAAATGTAAGAATCACATCGAGAATTGCCTAAAATGTGTAGCTTTCTCTCCAAACACAGGAAAATCGGAAGGTTTCCTTCACAGCATTCCTTAAGGCGATAAGCCATTCGAGCTATTACATATCGACCATTACGGACCAGTGGCCGCAGGAAGGGCGAATAAACACATATTTCTTATAGTAGATGGTGTTCGGCTCGAGGGGGGGAAATTCAATTTCCTTCACTTTCCAGATCAGCAGGAATTATTTAGATAAGTCACTCCCGCGCCGCAGTCGGAAACACCAAAGAAATCGCGAAAACGCGCAAGAGAAAATCACCACCAACGAAATGAAATAGTAGGCCGGGGGGCGTGGTAATTTTCAATATAATATAGAATCGTATGTTCCGCTTTATTCAAGTTCTAATTAGGAATTAATGTACAAGCTGGAGTGGGAGATCAAACTAGCTAGGAGAGCGGGAGCGGCCGCTCAGCGATGCGACGATCGGCCAGAGCCGAAGCATCCGCTAGAAGAGCGGGAGCGAGAGAGCGAGCTGAGGAGCTTTGAAGAAGCGGGAGCGCTTCGGAGTCGCGGGGGGCGGGAACATAAGCTCCTGACCTGAACATTCTCCCCCCTTGCGAGGATACGCAGCAAAATATCAGAAGTCCTTCGCTCGAGAAAGTGTTGGAGTCGCTGAGCGGTCGTCGGCATGTAGAAGTGTGTGATGATCCTGTCCACACGACTGGCATCGGTCGTTACTACGGCAAGATCCTCCAGAATGGTGGTGGGCCAAGCAGTTGACGCAGTATTTCCTGTCGATGACTGCCT